AGAGAGAGAGAGAGAGAGAAAGAGAGAGAGCGAGACCTAGGGAGACAGCCTAAGATATAGACACGCGCACAGGCGCGCACACACATATACACACACACACACACACACACACACACACACACACACACACACACACCAAGGAAGCTTTGAAGTAACTGGATTCAATGGAAGAGATGCTGCTACTGACGAGATTTCTGCTGGTGGTCCTCGTCTCTTCTCTCTTGATGTCCTCGGGGCTGGCGTGCGGACCTGGCAGGGGATTTGGGAAGAGGCGGCACCCCAAGAAGCTGACCCCCTTAGCCTACAAGCAGTTTATCCCCAATGTGGCGGAGAAGACCCTAGGGGCTAGTGGAAGATACGAAGGGAAGATCTCCAGAAACTCCGAGCGATTTAAAGAACTCACCCCCAATTACAATCCTGACATTATATTTAAGGATGAAGAGAACACTGGAGCGGACCGGCTGATGACTCAGGTAGAAACCCATCCATCCATGTGTGGCGTTTAATATGTTTCTTTGAAAGGCAAGGAAAACGTGAAAGGAAGCGCTCACAGAATGAGCCTATGTCTTTTTTTTTTCTTCTCAATCTTAAGATAATATCCCTTTACCTCCTCACCCACCTACCCCCTCACCCTTGCTCTTTTTCAAAGAATCCATATTATAAGTACAGCTGGAGAAGTTTGGGGGTAGGGATGGGGGTGGGGAGAGTGGCAGTTGAGCTCGGGTTTTATGTCATTGATTTGATTTCTGTGTTATTGGTCTGCTACTCCCTATCCTGTCTCAGCCCTGTCATGCAACTTGCTACAGAGAGCTCAGCTTTTAGGGCATTCGGCTCCTTGAGTCTGCCCTTGTTGCTTGGGGGAGGAAAGGAGGGGAGAGGGAATAGAAATCAGAGGGATAGGAGAAAGGAGAATCCGACCCCCCCTCAATGTACAGTGACCACCACATCATGATTACTGTCTCTTTGAGTATTAGATCTTAAGACACTTTTTTTTTCTATCTCCTTTTTTATTTCCTTTCTCACCCCTACTCTTCCCACATCCCAAATAAATTCTTAATTCGGCAGGCCAGGGAGGCTGTTTTGACAAAAGGCAGTGTGGCTTCAACCACAGATATTGCTCTCCCATTTCTGTATTATGTAGCTTGTATTGCAATATCGTCTTTTGCAATTGTGCCCATCCGAGTGTGAATATATTGATATTTCTTTAAGGATGCTCTCTTTCTCCAGTCGCCCGTGGTACCTTAGGGGAGGGACTTATAACTTATTAGCATTGCATCACTCTCTTTTAAATCAGATTGCTCAAAAATTACAACCGAATAAATATTGGGTGGGGGATGGGGAAAGGGAATAGTGGAAAGATGGAATGCAGAACTATCTTAGGCTTGTTATTTATTTTATTTTTTTAAAAAAAGGAAGAAACCGCAAAACAAGCGTTTCCCTCGTACCTCCCTTACCACATTGAGATGTCTGAGAAGCAAATTCGACCGCCAGTCACGGAGTTTCTGAAACTCCATAGATCTAACAAGCTGGAAATGGTTTTCCTTGCAAATATAGGTCAATATCATTTTTATTGCCCTATTAAAATATTTAAGTCCCACCTTTGGTGCTACTAACGCAATGAGGTTGGAGGAGCCGCACTAGTGGGGGTGGAAAGTTGGGGGGGTCGGAGTTGGTAATGATCTCCCCCCTCCCATCCCTATTCAATCCCCCAAGTCTTTGCTTTATTGAGGGGCAGGAAAAAGACTGCCCTGAAAGATGACTCTATTTAACGGGTGTCCTTGTCAGGCTCTCTTCCTCATCTGCTCTCGACCACCTTAAATCTTACCTAGAGCGTTGACGCGGGCTCTTGTAGGCAGATAAAAGCGTGAGCCTCAATTATGTACAGGCCACAGTGTGCAGGTTGAGTGCAGCGTGGTGGACTGAGTTTGCCAGCTTGCTTGGGCAGGAGCTTCCACTCCCCCCCCCCGCCCCGCCCCATCCCCAACCTCTGTCCCCAGTCTGCCTCTGGCTGCTCATAAACCCTCTGGGGGCGGGGGGCTGGGGTGGGGTGAGATGGCTAAGGATCGGAGGTAGGATGGGGTGGGGGTGGGGGGCCGAGGGAGGGCTGGAGGTTCCTGCCTCTGAACACTATTAACAGTTGCTCTTGTTTGTGGAAGACCGACTGACAGACAGCCCGAGAGCCCGTTTCACCCATCCCTGGCCCCCACCGCCCGCCAGACCTCAGTTCCCCCTGCTTACAGTCCTCAGTCATCGCAGCCTTTTTGAAAAGCTGCAAGGCAGCGGAGCTGTGCGCCAAGTCAGACGCATTTTCAGCTCCACTTACTCCTCCTTTATCGATCGCCACGGCTAGGGTTTCAGCTTATATCCTTTCTAACACGACAGAGGCTGGGGCTGCTGCTGCTGCTGCTGCCGCCGCCGCCGCCGCCGCCGCCGCCGTCACCGGTCCAGATTCTCCTAAACCCCAAGGAAAGAAATCCTTCCCCTCCCTTAAAAGATCACGCCCGCGAATTAGCTACATAACTAGGACGTTGGTGATGATAATAATAATACTATAAAGATAATAATTAAATAAAGCTGCTGGGGGAGGGGGCTGACTAGGCGCGGGTTGAGGAGGAGCAGGCAGCGGCGGCGGCAGGAGGAGGAGGAGGAGGAGAAGGTAGGAGGGGTGTGGTGATGATGTTTTAAAGGGCTGGGTGGCTAGCTGGAGAGGAAGCTCCGAAAGAGCGCTGGTAACAGCCTTCTTTCTCTTTCACTCCTCTCCATCTTTCCATTCTGTCCTTCCTCTTCTATCCTCTTGTGTTTCCCCTTCACCAGCCTCTCCTGGATCTTGATCTTCTCTCCCTTTCACCCCTACCTCACTAACTCTGCCCCCCCAACCATTCCCTCGTCTACCTCTGCCTCTCCTTCCCCGCCCCCCTAACTGCTTGCCCTTCCCAGGGAATACAGCGCCGTGCCTGCTACAGGGCTGACCACTCTCGCTGCCATTGGCTGGCAGCATATGAACTTCTGACCTTCTGTCAACTTCCCTCAGACGGACGAAACGAAAACAAATAAGTGCCCCCCTTCCCTTACACACACACGCACCCGAGCGTTGGCTGTTCCTGTTCCTGACACAAAAGATGGGGGGAGGGGGCAACAGCCAGAAAGATTGCTGGAGTGAGGGGAACCCAAGTCCCCGTAACACTGCCCCCATGCAAGTACCCTAAAAAAAAATGCATGGTAATGGGAAGAAGTTAAGAGCTGAGGAATCAGTCTGCCACCCTACCCCCATTCCTAACATTCTGTTCTCCGGGCTCCCCAGGTGAAAAGTGTGATGTTGGGGGGGGTGAGGGGGAAGGAGGTCGTTGTTGTTGGGGTGTAGTTAGGAGAAATAATATCCTGTTGATCTGAAGGATAGGGAGATGTAGGTGGGGGGATGGGAGGACTGAAGTGATGAGTTTCTCTGCAGAGACTTGTCTTCTGAACTGAGATTCAGCAGGCGATCTCCCTG